TGTGTGTGTGTGTGTGTGTGTGTGTGTGTGTGTGTGTGTGCGCGTGCACGCTTGTGTGTATGTGTGGAACTGCCAAATGACATCTTTATGCTAATTATGTTATTATTATACTGTAATAAGACTGACAAAAAGGTGTTACTGACAAATGCCTATTTGTTACGGAAAAATCCAATAATTATTACTGATGATCATCAGATGGGGTTGGCAGGCAGGTCTGCTTATTATTAAATTTAAATTTGTGAATGTAATTAGCCCGCATTATAACATGGTAAAGTTATAAATCCTGTGTTACCGTTTACACATTCCGCTGCCGAGTCCAATACTGTCATTCCTGCATCGTTGTGCTTCTATATTGGCGTCTGTTCCTTCGTTCGTTCGTAGGAAAATCAAAGTGTGGGATCTGCAGGCTGCACTTGATCCTCGGGCGCCTGCAGGAACATTGTGCTTGCGCACGCTAGTGGTAGGTACCTCTTAATGTGTGCCACGCGTCATTACGCATTACGATCGAGAATCTAACCGACAGCCTCCCTAACTACAGTAACGATCTCTCAGGGAACTACTGCCTCAAGGTGTAAGCAGTTACGATCGATCTGTGAAGATCAAGTTTTAATCTCAGAAACGCTTGCGTGAAAGTTCCCCGGCGATCGCGGGTTCTTACCGTTGTTCGCTGTCGTTCGTTCCAGGAACACACGGGCCGCGTGTTCCGGCTGCAGTTCGACGAGTTTCAGATCGTGTCGAGCTCGCACGACGACACGATTCTCATCTGGGACTTCCTGAACGTGTCGCAGAGCGACGGATCGCCGGGCTCCACCCGATCACCGGCGTCAACGCGGTCGCCGTCACGCTCCTACACGTACGTAACCCTGCATGGGGGGTGTGTACCCACCCCCACCGTGGGGGAGTCCACTTCTCGTTGTTGTGGGGTGGTGGGTGGGGTCGTTCGTTATTGTATGTATAACAGAAACAGGTAGTTGGCGGGTTTCTTGTTGTTCGTAGGGTAGCGGGTGGGTCGATCGTTTTTGTAGGGTAATAGCAAGCCTTCATTTATAATTTCCGTAATCGTGTATCTATGAATAACATCTATCTAATATATATTTGAGTTCGTATGTATCTATGTATGTATGTATGTATCTTCCCTATAGGCGGCCAAACCGCCCAAGCGATCTGGATGCAATTTCCACAGGGCCATCTCTTATACCCGGGGAGTGTTCCTAGCTGAAAAAAACCTGCCAAACTGTCAAACTCACCGAAAAATCCGTGAAAAACCCTTCAATTCGTGAATCTTCATACAATGTCAGCACTGACTGTACAGTGCTGCCACACACAGAAAAATCGATCACTCATTCCATCAGCTGCTGGTATTGTGAAACCGAAACCGATACTAAAACAGAGCACAACCAGGAACCTGTTCAGAGGTTACGACTGCATTGTTTATCAAGAGGCTTTGAAGTGCAACCCATTCGTACATGCTGTTAGAATAACTTTTTCTTATTTACACCATATTACTATTATGTTCCAGGGGTTCTACGTTGGGTTGTGCTGTCATATAAATGTCATACGTAACCGTTTTTTACCATGCTTATTATCTTATTAGACTGATTTGTAAATATTGATATTGTGTGCAATGTTATATTGTCGATTTTTACCCAATGTTCCTATTGTGTCCAATTATTAGTAGTATGAATTAGTAGCACGATTTTACCCAGCGCAGCGGGTACCCGCAGCTAGTCTATTAATAAACGAATCTATTTAATAATAACGTCTTCTTTGTTTCTATATTTACAGTTAGCTGCACCTGGATGTTGAGGATGACTGATGACGACTCGTTGATGGCAGGCAGGCGAGTGGTTGATGCCAAGCAGCAGCCATGTAGTTTCGTAAGAAGAAGCCCCACGTGAGAAGATGAGGAGGAAGAGGAGGAGGATGAGGAGGAGGGCGCCACGGAGCATGAGCAGCCGCCGTGCCGGTGCGGCGCTCCCGACGGTGCAGCGCCCCCTATTGTGCTTTCCTGGCCACATCGCTTGTGATATTTATAGTAATGTGAACTCCCGTTATATTGTTTAATCGTATCGACTGTGTGTGTGTGCATTTCAGGCGGTTCTCGCTGCTATCTAGCACCAGCCTCTTGTCCTCCGTAGGTGTTGTTATTGTTGTCGTCGTCATTGTTGTTGTTGTTTCTGCCGTTGCTGCTGTGACAACGTGCTGTTCGGACGAGCGAGAGAGAGAGAGAGAGAGAGAGAGAGAGCGCTGCACCCGCCCCCTGCTACGATAATTCCAGAGTAACGACTCCAGGTGCAGACGATCTGAGAATCGTACCTCGCCTCGTGCAGACGGCAGCATCGGTTCTTACCCCCGTGATCAACTGCATACTGGCACGCGAACTGGAAACGCAAATGTCCGCGCGTGCAGGATGGTGATTCTGTCGTCGTCGTCGTCGTCCGTCGTGCTGCGGCGACGTGGCGAGCGCGTGTAGTAGAATCGGCGGACGAACCCGCGGGAGCGCACGATGAATCGCAATGGCTGTCGGTTAATGCCGTGGTGTTTCCTGCATCGCCCGGCGATGGCGTCGGCGTTCTAAACAGCTCGCGTGTGTCGGTGACGCGGCAGGATGTGGCGATCGTCATCGGGTGCGTGTGAAATGCAGAGAAAAAAGCAGGCGTGCAGGAACTCGCACCTGACTGCTACTGAACGCGCTATGTGCTGATTACCGTGCAACGAGAAATATCGTGAGAAGAGAGATGTAGATTGTGATTCTGATGTGCAGGTTTCTGCGTGATCGTGTTAAAATAGGTGTGCTTGTTACGGCGAGAGTGGCATGCTTTCGTGCTTGGGTTATTATTATCTTGACTGGCTATTGCTGCTCCTTCCTCTTGCACAAACGTAAGAGACACGTGAATTGTTCGAACGGAAGGTTTTTGTGTTTGTTTCTACGCAGTTTGCAGTTTTAGCACTAGACTTAAGCATTTACAGGATTATGCCATAATGTAACTTTAACAGCAGGAACTTCTTGCAAGTCTTTTTTTTAGTGAATTGCAGATTGCAGAGGTGTAGAAAACGCTACAGCTGTTGCTTAGTGTCTTGCCCCTGATTGCAGTCATCGTAAGCGGATATTTTCTACGTGACGTCACCAGAATTCCTTATGTGAATTCTAAGTGAACACTATTTCTTTTTCTATTTCTTTTCTGCACATTTTTTTTCGTAGGCACTGCTGTTTTTTAGAATGTCAATCCGATTTAAAATACTCAAAATATTGCAGTTTCTTCATCTATTCCCAGCTCTTTTAAAGGTCATTGTTAGTTGCGTGACCTTTGACGTTGTCTGCACTGTCGTTATATAATGTGTAGAATCATTTTTCTTGCATTTTTAATAATTTCCCTTATTATTTCACGACTTATTAACTTTCAAGAATAACCACTTGGATCTTTTTTATGCTAATGAATAATATAGTAAAGGATAGATAGCTTTTCTCTCGGTCTAGGAGACCAAGGTTTGGTACCGGACCTGCAGCAGCCATCTATTCTCTGAAGAGGCACCTTTCGTGCACAACTTGCTTCCGGCTTTTCTTTGGTAGTGGTGGTATAGGGAAGAACTGGTTCCTAGGTATAGCATTGAGCGGTTGTTTGTCTTCAATTAACAGTCGGCATCATATCTTTAGTTAGCTGGGTGCGAGAGAGGGAGGGCTTCAGCTAGGCTGGGCAGAAACAAAATACCATTTTTGTGTGTGTATTTGTTTGTTTGTGTGTGTGTGTGTGTGTGTGTGTGTGTGTGTGTGTGTGTGTGTGTGTGTGTGTGTGTGTGTGTGTGTGCGTGCGTGCGTGTGTGCGTGTGTGCGTGTGTGTAAATAGCTTGAAAGAAATGATAAAAACAACGTATTGCATTTAGTGATGACACGGTTGGCTTGATTGCTTCCAGTTTACCAGATGAGTGAGTACTCTGACATTGGCAGTTCTTGTAATGTCCAGTCTGCATATAAGTCAGAAACGTATAGAGTTCTGTTGATATTATATCTTGGTGGATGGTGGTGACATGGAGTGGCATTGACTGCGCGCTAGTTATTGTAAATATGTGAATAGTAAAATGGATTTTGGATTCGCGTTCAGAATTGGAAAAAAAGAATTACACAATTAAGTGATTTGTTATTTACTACAGGGAGTTTGATGTCCACGTCGTTGGTACCAACGCTGTTTAACCCATCTTGTCTCCCCGGCACTCATGATCAAGGCATCTAACAATATTATTGTGTATTGCCTAATATAGGGCTCCTAGAACCTTATAGCAGGGTTCTCTACTGCATGAGACATTGCTTAGACCACTGTTATATTATTGTTCTGCTGCTGGCTAGGCGAGGAAGCTTGGGCGGAACAATGAACTAATCAACGCGTGAAATGCGAAATACCTGTTGTTTGTCACATCGTTGAAGTGTGCGTGCGTGTGTGCGTGCGTGCGTGCGTGCGTGCGTGCGTGCGTGTGACGAAATTGGTTCACGGCAAGTGAGGTAATGCCTCGAGGGATAGGCGATGATTTGTGTCCTCACGATTCCGCAGATGCTTGACGGGGAATCATTAGAGATGTCCCTCCCGCGGTAGGCATTTGCTTGAGTTCGTGTTGCTTGAACTGCCGGCATGCCGGGGAGGGGGAGGGATTCTACACGATAGCCTATTCCAGTTGGAGCTTTGTCAAGCTATTGCGGATCTTTGTCGAGTTGTCTCTGATAGGACGAGAGTGTGCCTACAAAATAATCTCATCGATTCTTTCTCGATCGGGTGGGTGCCCGTTCTCACCCACTCTAAACAGTGTACATTATATCAGGAGTTAATAAAGACAAACTCTTTGTTTAAACAGACTAATTTGTCTTTATAAACTCCCGATTATATGGAATTATAAGCACTATATGGAAATTACGGACGTTTGTTGATGAGCGTGGGGGGAGGGGGGGTTATTTAGTGATGAGCGTGGGTGGGGGGGCTATTTAGTTGGGTTTAGTTTCAGCGTAGCCTATTTCATGTTTGTCTTTCGAGATATCGACATGCAGAATTGTTTGTGTGCGTGACATTTTTATTCGCCTTTTCGCGTAGAATTGTTCCGTTTAGTCGAGACCCGAAAAAAATGATCCATCTTCCTCTTGCTTACCTATAAAAGCTTTCATATGTAGATTGACATAAGTAGAAGTGACGTGAGTGTCGGTGGGAGGGGAGGGTGGTCAAGGAGGGAGATCAGTGTTGACATGATGAAAGTTGTGGGGGGTGAATATTGTAGAAGGGACAGACACATTAGTAGCACTTATTTATTTCAACCACCTTCTCTTACTGTTTTTTAGCCCCATCACTGCATAGGTTTGCGATGAAGTGTCCATCCAGATTTCCCCCAAACGACAGTGTAATATTACGATTAAGGAGGTGGAGGGGGGTGGAGTCGCATGTGAGTTTCATCGCATAGCGTTACGAGTAGCAAGCAATGCGGGGGCGAGCGTAACGAGGTATTCCGTTGGTTTTCAGTGATTGCTGGTGTTCGGGTGATCATGAGTGCACGTTTCTCTTTGCACGTTCTCGTCGTCGTCATTTGCGGCGTGGTGGATGGTTGGTTTACGTGCACGGAGCGGACGATGGAGAGGTTGCAGCAACGGCAGCGTCGGTGCATTCGCGTACTATCACGTCTCGTTATTCTGGATGCCAGTCATCGACGCGTACATGTTACTACTTAACTACTAGCTTCTTTGTATCTTTCATTGTAAATCGCGGGTCTTTGTGGCGGACCTGTGTACGTTTGCAAAAAAAATGGTTTCCTGTTCTATACACGAGATACGCCATCAAAGAAGCCCGTTATGTTTGGGCGTTAGGTAATGGTGGTGGTGGTGGTGGTGGCACATGCGTGCAGTCGCCATACCACAGCAAGTAATAGACAAAAGCTGCTTCGGATGCTTAGAGTATAAGAGAGCTGCAACGGCAGAGCTACATCGAACGCAAGTGCAGTCGTATTGTGATGCAATGCAATGCAATGCAATGCAATGCAATTTGTGCATCTCGTAAATCTTTTGAGCGAGTCGCAACTGCAAGGCATTTGCGGTGTAAAATGCCAACCCCATGAAATATGGAGTCACGATGTTTGTAGTGGGTTTCGTTGTGAGGAACCATACAGACATTGTGATTCTCGCTTGCCACCCACATTATAGTGTTAATATTTATGTTGCCTTCTTTATTTCGGTTTTGCTGTATCTAATCCTTGAATTTCATAAAGAGCAACAATTGTCTTGTGTAAAATAATTTCAGCGTTTGGTATTTTGTGTTAGCGTCTCGGCAGTGTGTGCGGAAGTATTTGTAAACAGCTAGAGTAGTAGGATGTTGTTTCTCCTATTTCCTACTCTTCCTGTTAGATAAACCTTAATAGTAGAGGTTTAATTAGATCATTAAACAAAGTACACGATCAAAAGTTTTATCGTATCACACAGGTTTTACTTACATAAGCTTATAAAAAAAATTCACGAATGTCTCACCGGTGCCGCAACCGTCGGGTCAGCTGCTGGTTTACTTTGCAGGTCTAGAAAAACCACTTTATAGTGTCAACAAAGCCTTAATTACATGCTTCTCCTTCTCTTTGTCGAATACGGTATCAACACTGGTTATTAAACATCGAACAAATACGTCTCATAATACACGTGTACAACGGATACCTCTTTCATGCATGATTCCGTTAGCGCGCTATTTTGCATCCATGGAACACTCGCTATTCGTGACCGTTCTCTTACTTTTCTGGCGGAGACGAAATCGTGTACATAATCTCATAACTAGTTGCTGGTAACCATCTGTAACATTGGTAGGCTGGCCAAAGTTGCAACATGATCCCATTGCCATAACAATTACTCAGGAAAGACACAAAGAAAAGCAAGTACCCTCTCAGCCAATCCTCGAAATTCCAGACTCCTCGATCAATGTTCCAGTGTAACTTTATACTAGTGTCAGTACTAGTGTTTAGGTGCTTAGCAGCCAGTGTTTTCTCACACCTCGACCTGACACAGCAGAGAGTATAATGCCATCTTCACGCGAGAGTAGCAACAGAACGGACTCTGTAACACATGACAGTCTGTAATACCGCGTCAACATGACATCAATGATTCTCGGTCATAACAAAACGGCCATCGAACGGTTTATTCAGTAGCAAGATATGCAATACTTACACTTGTATCCCGGCCTCTAATAAACCATCAAAACTCCAACATGTGGAATAGCTGGACGTTATTTTAACGTTTTACCAAGACTTCCTGAACTCTAAAATGGGAATATCCACATATATATATATATAGGGATATTCCTGTAATGGGAATCATGATTCTCAATGAAATATTACTTTTTGACATGGCAAGGATGCAAAATATTGTTCCTATTGATAATAAACTTGGGTTCAACAAGGCTCGTATGAAAAGCAATACTGATATCTACAATAACAAGGATGTCTTCGTTATAGCAGACAAATACAATAACTGCTATTCCACAAAATTTGATGATTAATTATTTATTAATAGTACTTCAGTAAACAAAAACAAAACTAGCATACCAATGAATGCACGTACTATGAAACTAATATAATCAATGCCTCTATAGAGTAACTAATCTGTTTTAAGAAGTCAGTTACTTTGTTGATATTAGTTACTTTATGATGAAATGATGCTTGTACAAAGATCGTTACAATCGAACAAGTGAAATCACCAATAAATATGAGACTGATTTTACGTTCCATCGCAACAGCAACCAAAGTCTAAGAAACAAAAAGCACAACTCTCTACAACATTGGCCCAACATTCTTATAAAACACTACCACAGGTCCAAAGGTCACTTCATAGCGGATATTCACACATGCTTCGTATGATTATAACAATTTGTGAACGATAAATTTTTTTACTGCGAAAAAAACCTACAGTCATTCACTCGTGACATAATTTAAACTAGCACTGGTAAAAAAAGCAGAGATACATGCGTATTACACACACGATGAGGTTCACGCTGCAATGCGCCCCCGGTAGATGGCGCTAGCAGCAGATGCTATGAGTATCCAAGAAGTTTGGCAAGCTCGTTTGTTGAGTGCCTCTGGAGCCTGTGGTTGCTCGTTGATTGTCAACTCATCATGTCCGTACTGGACACGACCCCCGTCGGACCTTTCAACGAGTCGTTCACGTCACGTCGAAACGTCGAGAGATTTTGCGTGAACCTGCAACAGGATAAACAGATGTTTTACAGAATGCTGTGGTTTTTCACAGATTATCTTCGATAACAACAACAAATACAAATCAACGACAAAATAAACGAGGAGAAAACGAATGAGAGTATATTAATTTTTCTGAGGAATTAATTATGTTAAATACGTGTTAATTATAGTGGCTAATGGATGCACCAATAACAATAACATCACTTAATCCTATGCGAACACGTAATAAAAGATATACGTCATGCTTTTAGCTCGTCACATATTTTTATCGTGAAAACCTCGTCACTAGTAATACTTTAATCACAGTGAGCTATGTGCGATAACGCTTGCCTGTCTCTATTCTTCGTTAACAGGGATCTCTCGATGCCTTCCATCAGATTATCGAAGCACTGCACCATTGCTGCTTGTTTGTCTGAGGGCTGACCACTTATCACATTTTGCCGTAACTGGCTGAAATACTGCAGAAAGACAACAAACAGGATAAGAATCACAGACTGCATCAGTTGGATGCAACAAGTCTTAGTCGTGATAGAATTAGGCAGACAGGATTTCACTACAGACAGTAGAAACATTTGCAGATGTCAACCGTAGAGTTTGTGGCACAATTCAGATGCTGTTAGTCGAAGGTCGTTGACGTTGCAGTTAACTAATCAAACCAATTTTAAAACGGCCTCAAACATCACCTGTTCCTAACTATTGACATCATTTTACATCTGCCTTCTTCCTACGACACGTGTTTACCAAACAACACAAGCACATCACATGGAGTCGAGAAATATTTGAAGCTAAATTAATGAAAGATACACACGTAAATGTCGCATGCCAACCTCCAACTTACCTCCTCATTTAAGAGGATGAGGCCGAGTAGTGGTCGCGACATGGACCACTGATTTCTACAGTCCTCGAACATGATGATATTTAATACTGTCGACAGCATCTGAAATAAACAAATCATCGTTAGGTAATTAATTATTCTACGAAACGGCGATTTAATCACAACAATAGTTTCAAAAATCATAGCCTAATTATAAAAGTAAATGCGGTGAGCATTTGTGAGATGAGAAAACACAGAAAACAGCAACGGTTGCAATGAAAGCCGTACAGACGAAACGGAGCAGCCGAAAAAACACGAACAGATGTAGAATTTCGCAAACAAAAGTGCGTGCCTGTCGGAAGATGTCTGGCTGTACTTCGAGTATCCTGAGAAAGGTTTCACTCTCCTGTTGTTGGTTCGTCCTCTTCTTAGATCCCTTTGACAGCCGTCGGAATAGGTATGTCACTATGTGGTCCAGTGTCGCACAGCAGCCAGTGCAAACCATCGTGTCTACACAAGATCGACAACACGGTGTGATGAATGAAATAAGTTCATTGGATTTCGTTGAGAACTATGAATTCATATATATCTTGTGTTAAATCTAAGAAATTAACTTACTATCACCTGCTGCCACCTATCGTAACGTCACATCCTGATGAATATTTCCCAAAGGGAGATCAAAAATTTTGATAGTAAGTTAATTTCTTGGATTTAACAAAAGATAAATATGAATTCATAATATGGTGTGACACTGGTAATCATGACCAGTACAGTAACGAATACTTATAAGATAATAATATGTATATTATGCGTAACCACCTGTAACTGATTACGTCTGATTAATCTGTCAATCACAAACCTTTCACACAGGTGATGCTGCAACCAATATCCGGCACGATCGAAAATAATTATATTAATACCTGCAACTGACCATACGTGATAAATCCTCTCAAAGAAACCTTTCGAACTCGTGATACTATATCATCCACAGCTGATTACATATGCTAAATATTTCTGCTGCAACCCTTAAAACTATCAACCAGTTCTTAGCAACTAGCGATCCACTCTGCAATTATCCGGATACTATTTCGCAAACAGATTGCGGGGAACATTCCCGACAGCAGCTGACGACCTGCTCCAACCAACGAGCTAAATATAACAAGGAGAGGAAGCGCCGCCATATCTGGCCCAAATTTGGTTCGGCAGAGACCCTAGAACAGATTAGTGTTCTATTGTCTGCTGGTTCGGGTCTGCACAGCCGTTTCAGCGTCATTATGGTGCCATAGATGGCGCGCCTTGAGGCGAAAAGCACACAACATTCCGCTCCTCTCCTCGTTACATTTAGCTCCTTGGCTCCAACGACTCTTGCTGTACGTGCTACAACATATACAACTACTCTGCGTACATACAGAATAGTGAAGTCAATCTTGGCGACTCACCGAGGGCTGTGAGTCCCTCTGATATTGAGGAAAGTATGTAGAGGAAGACTTGAGGTTCGAGGTTTGCTAAATGAAAGTTCATGTGGTCCTGCGCTAGAGCTTCCAGAAGGGAAGTAATACGTCTGACTCAGCTTTGGATAATCCTGGAAATACACACGACATCGCCTGATCCACACCAGACTTCCTCA